AGGAGTTGGATCGTTGGCTACATAAGTAGGCCCACTCGGAATAATGGGATGGATGTCTAAAGGTGAACTATTTTGGCTAATACATTTCCTGTGTATTATTGTAGTGTGTATGTTGAGGCCTTTCAAAGATTTAAATGATTTGTGGCACTGTGTACATGTACGGGTCGCGTTCGACGTGTCATCACTAGATTGGGTCGCGGACTGCATTCACAAAACTTAAATACATTCACAAAAAAGAATAACTTAAAATAAAATTAAATCCCACTATAAAATAACTTGAAAAGTGCACTGAAAATATAAAAAAGTCAAAGACATATATGACAGCTGCTTGTTATGATAATAACGCATGCGCCGTTACATAGGTGCGTCACAGGATGGTCTTGGATTGGACACAGTGAAAGAGAGAGACCTAGCGACGCATGTCGTCGCTAGGACAACCGATGGCGGCCTTAGCAACCGCGTCTTCAAATTATCACACGCGGATCAGAAAATTTTAACCGCTGAACAGGCACTGTGGTGGAACAACAATAAAATCCCCATACACACATATGAAAAAAAAACTTGATTTACTTTTATATGCAGGTCTGAGCCGTCAGTAAATTAAAATGGCTTAGAAATTAGTATTTTAAGTGACCTGAGCCTGCATGTCACTATCAATTAATTTATAATTAATTAAAATACGTATATCTCAAGTATTTTATTAAAACCGAATACTTATTATATTTACATTTCAGATGTTGCTTTTGTTTATACATTAAAAACTCAGATTAATTAAAAAGTTAGTAAAGCTATAAAAAAATATACAAACTGTACTGCATATTTATTTTTTATTATTAGTATATAGCAATCAGTGAAGCATGATTGAGACTCGTTAAATTATTGTTTAAAATAATAAATTATAACGATATAATAGGAAAAATTGTTATGGATTGTGTGTCACCAACCAATAGCAAGTTACCGATCGACGTCTTTTATGGTGTGTGTAAGTATCAATTTAATGTTGAGATACGAATTCTAAACAGTACACACAGTACGTGCTCGAACCTGTGACATTGCTTAGTTCTTATATTTTCCTCTTCTAATTGAATTGTGTACGACGTATTTAAATTTATTCTTAATAAGTTCATGTCCCATTTTAAATGCAATACCTAACTTTTTCGTTGATACATTTAATTTTTTTTCAAATTTTATTTATCATAAGTATAGTATGATCCGTTGTGCGAATCTATAGATAAAGTGAGACTAAAAAACGGCCGTTATAATAAATAACGTAAAAACGTATTAAACGTTTCCGGTCCAGAAAGATTTGCCTACATACCCGCAAAACTAACAAGCAAGTGCGCTTTTCATTTAACTGTTGGCGTGGGATTGCGAAAAACCGCATCTTGTTTTTTTTATTTATTTTATAATACCAAAATAGTATTATCTGTAAATGCGGCAAAATATAGCAGTCATTGATTGTGATATTGATGGCGCTAGTTGATTTCTGTATTGCAATATGATTTATATTAGATAAACTATAAAAATCTTTTTACAATATAAATATATTGTAAAAAGAATTTTCTATTTTATTTAAATAAGCATTTTATTTTATGTGATTATAAGTGGATATTCTTGTTAGATGTCTCTAAAAAAATAAAATATTACAGAATATAGAAAATTTGCTGATTATGACAAATAAAATAAACGCATTTATGGACTTCAGCGTATCCCCTGTGTTGAAGAAAGAATAACATAAAACAATTGTAAGCATTGCCGCCATGTAGAAAGAATCAGCGCCATCTATTATACGCACTGATAGTTAAATTTTCCATGAAATCACTTTACTGTACTTCTGCGTCACTTTAAATTGTAATAACTTTTGAAAGAGTTCACCGATTTTCATGAAATAAAGTATATAAAGTTACCCAGAGATATACTCTATAATCATGTTTACAATTCATTGCATTTAATTCAGTAGTTTTGATTTGATGCGATAACAAACATATAGATCAACCGCCAGACAAACAGACAATAGTTAAAAATGTAAGAATTGTGTTATACTATTTATTCTAAACCTCCAAACTCTTTTTTTGCACATCTATTCAATGTACAAATACGCGAAGCATAGATTCTTATTATATACAGGATGGTCCAACTAGTGACGTCAACAGTTTTTTTTAGATTCTTCGCACCTGGGGGTATCCGAAAATATTCCATGTATGATTTTTCTTAGTTTTCGAGTTATAATTTTTTTTTGTGTAATTTTAATGATTTGTGCCAGCGAGGTTTCAAAAATTCATATCTTTTTTCTAGTAGGTATTTTGCAGTCTTTTTTTGTGACATAATTATCTTGAAGGTTGTTTTAATAAAAAAAATAACTCAGCTTCCTAAAATTACTTAAAGTTACTCAAAAAAGGCTTGAAAGTTGGAACTTTAGTTTTTAGTAGGATTTATGTTCTCCGACGAATTAAAATTTATGCTCTACAAGCATGATGGAAGACACAGAGGGTTACGGTGGTGGGCCTGCACTTGTGTGGGTCGGAATTTCTTCTAAAAGTCGCTCAGAACTGGTGTTCATAGAAAACGGCGCTTTAACTAGCGAAAGATATGTGGAAGAAATCTTGAATTAACACGTTGGTCCATTTGCTCTAACAGAGAATAAATTGCTCTCACAGAGGAAAGGGAGAATATTCCCCAAAATTGTAAAAGAAACTTGGTGTACTGTACAGCATGCCAAACGGAGGTAACGCAGAAATGGAAGCAGAAGGAGGCAATATAAAGTATTAAATTTCAAGAAAATGTTCAAAAATGTCATGTTTCTTTTGTTTTAAGGCGAGGTCAGCCAGTTTTTCTTTATGTATATTTTGGAAATAAAATGCGCTGACTCATAAATTTTATTACTTTCATTTAAGGAGTATTTAATTGTCTATTAAACACAATGTATTTCATTAAGCTCTAGCATTCTAAGTTTGCCAGATTTTTAGGATTCTATATGTGACTTGGATTAATTGCTCTCGAGTGTACTATGTAAGGACAATGGGAGAAATAATTCGAAATAACTAGTTCTGTTGGTTTTCTTAATATTAATAAATAAAATATGTTTTTTAGTAAGAAAAATCTTCGTTTAAATTTCCAGTTCCTGCTGATATATGGTGTGATATCGCCGGTTCGTATTTGATCGAATTTTTTGATACTTTGTTTGGGTTCATGAGAGCTGATACAGTGTCTTGTGTTAAAAATGTTGTTGTTCTTGCCCTTTCTCCAAATACAATTAATACAGTGAAAGCGACATCTTTTAATAATAATATTAAGGAAAAATCTTTTTAAGGATTGGTTAAAGCAATTTCAAAATACAAATTATTGGGTTCCCATATCACGAACATTTGCTATATCGGTATCGTATTAAATTAAATACTAGTCTTCGGTTTTGTCGCTCATCAAAGCATATAGTATCAGTACAATATTTGTAGTTTCAACGGTGCTCTCTAGGTCACCGTGTAATGTTATTAATTGAAAAACGCTATTAAAAGTTGCATCACCAAAACATTCTTTCAGTATACTCAATAGCCGCTTGGCTTTCTGTGAGTATAATACGATAATTCTTTTACTTTTAGGTTTGTAGTCGCCTAATATTAATGGTTGAAACTTCTTTTTCTTCTTCTTAAACTCCACTTCCGTAACATTATTATAAATTGATTTGTTGACGCTTAATTCCGATTTTCGTCGGAAGATACCCTAGGGGCCGTCAGAGCTTAACTCAATGTTTGAACGCTGATTTTATCGTATTTCAGGACTAAAGTCCAATTAAAATAAATAAGATAGTAATCTCTGTCTTATTAATTTTAATTTGACTACTTTCATAACTTACAAGACGTAATTCTATTAAATTGTTTTCATAGACTAATCCTTCCTTTCGATTTCGAATAAAAACAATAACTGTTTATAAATATAGTATTCAACGGGTTAAAACGTGTACTTTAAAAGGGTTTTCCTTCTTTATCCCGACGTTTCGACCAGGTTACGCCGGTCGTGTTGTTATTACGGCAGCATTGTTTTTCAACTTTTACAAAATAGGCTTTTATCTTCGAGATTTTCAAATAAAAATACTTAGATTTGATATACTCAATTTTCCAATTAATGCCTTCCTGAAATAATGATGAAAGAAGGCAACTGAACTGTCATTCAAATTTTTACGTGACAACGTAGTTTTATTTGCAAAGCAGGCAATCCGATTCCAGTAGGCGATCAAATCCGCTTGACCAACTTCGCTTTTGATATATATTGTATATAATTTTAACCTTAATCATGACATGATCAGTAACCATCCTAGCCTATAAAAATTAATCCAAAAAAGGGTATAGGCATTTCGCATGCCTATATTGTATTTTTTCGGCAATCCGGTTTTTTAAGCAATGTAATAAATATAAATAGACTTTTCTGAAAAGCCGACGGTCAAAAATCACCATAGAACGAATCCGCGTTTTATGGTGTTGTAAAAGCTGACATTAATCTTGAATTCATTCATATTCAGAGGATTAATCAATGAGGAATGATTTGTTACTTTGAGATGCTATAATTATTACACCTATTATAATCGTTGTTGTAATAGGTACCTCGGTTCTAGGCATCTAGAAATTAACAATATTTCAATATCAATAGGCAGAATTGTTGAGGTGAGTAATTACAAAGCCACAGTAAATATTTTTATTATTTAGACGTTTATCTTGTTGTTGTGTACTTGTGCGTGTAGGAGTTTCACGTTTTCTTTATATACTTTATTATTTACTTATTCTTTGTGTATTGTAAAACATATAGTAATACATCCAGTTGCGCTCGAAGTAAGACGCTTACTCGTTGTTTATCAATATCCAGGGCTACCCAACTACAAGTTCGCAATCATGTTTTGCTGTGCAAGGTGCAAGAGCGAAAAGTATAATGTTGCTACTTGCAGTGTGTGCAAGCGTTAATTCCATTTTCCATGCGCGTGAATCAACAACATTATGAAGAATCTTGCTCAGGTGCAGACTCTGTCGGATGACGTCAAAACCATTAAAGAGGATCTAGTGCTCTTACAGAAGTTGCTTGAATCTGCATATGATTCGATCAAGGATTGTACTGAGACATTAAAATTGCTGGATTCAAGATTGAAAGTTGCTGAGGAACTTACAGCTCAGATACCTATCTTGAGAGCGGGGGTGGAGAGACTGGAGCAACTGTTGCGCGACAAGGATCAATGGGACCGTGCTAAAAATATAGAAATCAAAAAGGTACCTCAAAAAATAAACTTGTTTGACTATATCGGCTATTCAATAAAGAAGAGAGACATCAGGTAGAAACCAAGGAGAAACGGGAGAATCTTGTCACTGAACTCAATCAGGCTTTGGACCACATTTTTGAATGGGGTACCAGGAGCTTAGTTGATTTTAATGCTAAGAAAACCCACATTTGCGCTTTCGCGGCAAAAACATCGCCATTCCTTCCCCTTCCCTCTTTTCAGGGCACAACACTGACGCTACAGAGCAACATCACCATGCTTGGTATGAAAGTTCGCTCAGACCTTAATCCAAAGGACTACATCGTAACCAAACAAGTTTCATGCAAACTCCAAATCCTGAACCAGACGGTTGTGATGGGGGGCTTAAACGCAAGGTTGGGGAAGCGTTACGGTCATGAGTAGAGAGTGGGGAAATTTAGATTTAGAGGACTAATTGGTGATTTTATTGAGGGAGAGAACCTCAATATGATAAACTCCTTCTTCAGTAAACCACAAAATCGAAAATGGACCTGGATGAGTCCGGACGGCAAAGTCCGAAACGAGATCGACTTTATCATGTCAACGAAAAAGCTAATATCCAATGATGTCTCTGTGATCAACGCCATCAAAACGGGAAGTGATCACCGGTTAATACGAGGTACATTGAATATTAACATTAAGCTCGATAGATCTCGAATGATAAAGTCTACGCTCCGACCAAAACCTGCAGAATTCCAAAATCCCGAGAGCTTTAAACCCGAACTTCAAAACCGCTTCGAAGCGCTTGAAAAAACTCAATGGCGGAGATGTTTCTTATCTCAAATCTCTAAAAATAAATAATTTAAGTGATTTTATATTATCATACCCCGCATTTTAAAAAATCGATTCAGAAACCGCTCGTCGGTTTGAAATGCATAAACGTGATGAGTCACGTTGACAAGGCAACCAGATCATCATATGAAGGAAAAGACGAGTCTTTTTGTTCATACGATGATCTGGTTGCCGTTGTACGCGAACAATGTAAAGTACTAAAATCGCACTACGTCCATTAATCCCGCCACTTCTCAACAGAATTCGTATGAATTTCGCGATGAGCCTTTGATTAGCCTACTCATTCTTTAGTAGCCTCTACGCATACTGCTATCAGTAATAAATACAGCCACTGTGCTATGTAAACAAAATTATTTATTTATGTGCCATTTAAAAAAATATAATATCTATAGAAGACCGCATTACTTTTATAAAATCTAACAATGGTTGTACCAATTGTTTCAGCTTATTTCATGTAATTTCAACTTGTGATTCTATTAGACAATCACACGCTGTTATCATGTCACACGGGGGCTATGATGACAGTGCCCGGCAGAACACGCTCTTCTCCGTCTCCACTTCATGTTTGTCTCACCTGTTGCTGAAAGGGCACTAACGAGCAAAACATTTCGTTATGTAGTATGTCACCGTCGCTCCGTAAAACGATACTACTTGTTTACTCGGTATAGTTGAGGCATTCGGCAACTTAAATTGTGTTCGTGCAATTATCGATCCCAGTCCTCAGTCTAACTTTATAACTATAAAATGCTGTCTAAAATAAATCTTTCTTTTAACAAATTACACGCGCTGTTGTCAAGGGCATTGGCTCGTCTCCTAATCCAAGCAGGAGGGCAGTAAAAATAATTTTGTTTTCTCGTTTTAATAACACATCAATATCGATGGATGTGTGTTATTGACAGCATTACAGACGATCTACCGACTGTTAATATTAAAAAAAAACTTATTTACAAAATATTCATCTCACTGTTGATGTTTTTCATCCTCCCGGTGAGGTTGAAGTTCTCATAGGTGCTTCCTTTTTCGCCGTTATTTTACTACAAGGTCGTATTACCGGTCCACCGGGTATGCCTACCGCTTTTAATAAATTTTTTGGTTACATGATTTTTGGTAACACATGTACCTCAAACACTACTCATAATATTTCGTATTTCGTACCCTCCATTCTCGAAATGGACCAGGTCTTTGCAGATCGATACGTCCGATATTGGCGACTCAAAAACATAAGACGGTGGCATTTACGGGTAGCTTCCGTCACCAAGCGACTAACATCCATATTCTTAGTCGTTTCCTCGAGATTTTCTCCACTCTACTCAACCTCATTGGTTTCGTATGCTTAGACAACAAAAATTCGTATGCTTAGACAACAAAAATATCCTTACTTGAGATATTCCTCATTCGAGTGGAGGTCGAGTCGAGGAATAAACTGTCAAACTCAAGGTAGCTCTCGACATACCTTAAGGCTTCCTCGAGTGGTGTTTAAGGTGTTTTCAAGTTGTTTTTATCGAGAATTATGACGAATTTGTGGATTTTATGGATTACGTATACGATTTATTTACCATTTATTTATTCAGTAACACATACACGATGATGAACCCTATAATTATCAGGCGCAACGGTATTTACGTGATGCCGCAAATCCTTTTAAGGTGTACCACAATGATTCGTTTCACAGAAGATTTCTGTTTAGAAAAGATACAGTCATACAAGTAACATTTCCTCTGCTAAGCATTATAGAAATAAAATCCTCCAAATGATGACTTCACAATGTTGAGGAATTTTTAGTGGAGGAATTCTTAAGTTTGTTCAAGATACCAACTAGAATATCATTTTCGAGGTTATTTGGAGGAACTCCTTAAGGAGCCCTCGAATGAGTTTGAGTCGAGGAACGTTTGAGGACGCGATTAAGAATATGGGTGTTAGTGTTGGAATGAACTCCTCCCTAGCCGTCGTCACTTCTCTCTCAAAATGCGCGTATTATTATACGCGCATTTTGTGACGACTATCAGATAAAAAATACAATCCTGCTAAAACAAAAAGCATTAAATCTGCACTGAATTATTGCGTATCTCTGTTAAGATTTTTATTTTAGTCAGGTTGTAATTCAAAATTTATGTTGGTATATTGGTAGTATTCTGCAATAATATGTGTTCCTTCATCAATAAAAGTCAAGTACGGTCAAGGTTGAAATAAAATATTGTTTTCAAAGAATTTATTGTATTTAGCACTGAACATATTTTTTGGTTGTAAACTAATTATAATGGGTAATGTGAAATTTGTGGCATAAGGTTTGAGCGCAAATCTACCTCGGATATATGTTTTGCCAGATTCCCACTGGAACCTTACAGGTAAATAAATGATAGTGTTTTTTTATTATTTTGGATATATGTATATACAATTGAGATAATGGAAAGGGTGCACAGGACTTACATTTTTTCGGAGAAGTGGGATATTCCCATGACACCCTATTTTTTTTAATAGGCCTGGGTTGTGAGGGGGCGATAAGGAACCTTACGTTTGGTTCGGTCTTTCAACTAATATTTTTTTATGAATTATTTTTTGTTCAAAGCATCGGTACAATTTTTTTTTTCAGCTTGACTGCACCTGGAAGTTTGCAAGTGCATTTTGAAAATTCAAGGCTAGCCCTCCAGTCAGCAGCACCTTCGTTGTGCACGTTCCCTATATCTAAAAATTCTGAAATTTGCAGGACTTTCTTTCTTTTAGTGACTATCTAAACTATAATTTATTAAGATTTTTGGTTTTGAATATATAGATATTAAAAAAAAGAAAGAGAACTGAAAATTAAGCAATAATCCATTCACAGCAAATTATTAGGATGGAAAATCTTGACATTATTTGACAGGTTTGTGTGTTAATTTTTGATTGTTGTGTTGATTACATTTAATGTTGTTTTTTTTCCTACCGAGTAAATATGTAATTGCATGGCGTGCTGTGTTGGGATTTATTGCTGTTAGGTTCACTTGCAGCAATTTTGCTAATCTCAATTTAACTAAAACTAGATATAGCCTATATAATAATGTCAAATGGCCATACGTTTAGACCTTTTACTTTACCGATTAAATCTAGTTTTAATTAAATCGAAATTTAGCAATGTTGCTGCAATGGAACTTACATTACTACACACATCAAAAGTGTCTAGGGATCAAGCATTTTTATGCGGATTTCTTGAGATTGAGATGTGGCTTTGTAATAAATTTATGATTTTATAAATTTATATGGATCCTTTTTGGTGCATTTCATAATTTGAATCAGGAACTGTGAATCAAATTCGAGTAAAAGATGAAAATCAGCTGTCAATATTTTCCCTATAAAAACATACAACGCATTGAAGACATTATTAGTGCTACTGTTTCCCTACTACTGATTAAAACCAACGTTATTATGGAGCGGCGACGTCATTTAAGCAGGGAAGAAATGCTCAGAGCCGTGGGAATGATAGAAGCTGGTTCCCGGCAACGTACTGTGGCTTTAGCTCTGAATACAAGTCAGAGTGTTATCAGTCGACTTTGGACACGATACCGAAGCACTGGTACCGTGGCTGAGCGCCATGGAGGACGGTATCGCTGCACCACACGGAGACAAGACCGATACATTCAAATCTTAACTCGAAGAGCTCCAACAATAACCGCCATGATGTTAGCCCTGAGGCTTCATCACTCTTCAGGGAACTTAATTAGCGACCAAACAGTCAGAAACCGCTTGCATGAAGTGAACCTTCATTCCCGAAGACCGCTACGGGTACCACCTATAGCAATGCACAATCGTAGGATTCGATATCAATGGGCTCTTGAACACAGAAATTGGGCAGAAGAACAATGGCGTTTCGTGTGCTTTTCTGATGAGTCTCGTTTTGGTATGAGACCGGACACAAGACGTATACGACACTGGAGAACCCCTGGACGCCAACAGCGATTAAAATCCTGCCAGGAAGTCCATCCTTATAGTGGTGGAACCATCATGGTATGGGCGGGTATTTGGATCGGCGGAAGAACTGAGTTGATTTGGATCAGAGGCAACCTCAACGCTCAAATTTATGCTGAGACGATTGTATCAGACGTCATCGTTCCTCTACAAGTGCAAATCGGTCCCTTATTTCAGTTAATGCATGATAATGCACGACCGCACACCGCAAGAGTTGTAAGACAGACTCTCGCCGCAGCTAAC